AGGGGCTGATAAGGTTACGGCTGTGGTGGCACTGCTTTTGGTCTTGGCCATCGAGATTTAACTGAGGGCCCTACCCACTGATGCGGCATAATTATGTACCAAAATTGTAAGTGCACAATTGATCAAGTTATAGTATAAAAAGTTATCGATCCCACGAGAAATGTGATTTTAAGAGATTATTAGAATAATTGATCAAGTTATAGTATAAAAAGTTATCGATCCCACGAGAAATGTGATTTTAAGAGATTATTAGAATAAGTTCTTATATTGTGTACGTGACAAAATAGGATTGAATAATAAGTGTGATTGTGATAAGTGATTGTTGTGAATATATGCAAGAGACAATAAATTGAATTTTAGAGAAAAGAAATAAGAATCAAAGAATAAATGAAATCATAAGGCAAGAAAGAAGAATGAATAAAATCAAGAAATAAAATCAAAAATAAAAAGAAAATTTAAGAAAGTCAAGATGGAGGTTTTAATTTAAGATATGAGAAATCTAAAATTTAATCCACTAACTAATCTCAATTACAAAATACAAACTATTCTCTTTTTATTATATTTTAACTTAGATTTATTAAGCATAGACTATCAAACCATTTAAGAAAAGTATAACCTATCAAATTATCATCTAAGTCAAAATTACTATTCATGATAAGAACAACAACAAAATAGTAATCCTAGAATTCATAAGCATAACCTATCAAACCATTTAAGATAAGCATAGATTATCAAATTCATCTTCTACCAATTAGTTTTCGAGTTGATTATTCTAAACATGAATATTTTAAGTGTAAGAGAATAATTTGCATAATATAAAGGAAATTCCTACAAAGAATTAAAATAATTTGCATAATATTCTAAGATTCCTACAAGAATTAATTTCACATCTTAAGAAATAAAAACAAGAAGAAAAAGAACTAATTACAAAAATAAAAAGAAAAGAAAAATCTAAACTATGAACAAGAATTAAATCTAACTACAAAGAATTAAAATCTAAACTACAAAATAAATTGCAAAAATTAAATGCAAGAGAATAAATCTACTCTACAAATTAAAGTACAAAAAGAAATAAAAAGATAAGAAAATAAATCTACACTATAAGTATGAATGTAAATCTAACTAATAAACAATAATAAAGAAATTACTAAAAAGAAATAAAAGAGAAAAATAAAAGAAATGCAAACCTTCAAATTGCTCTTCATCTCCATCCTCATCATTCAACAAAGAGGAGAAAAGACAAATTTAAAGTGGAGAAAAATTATTATTATTAATTACAATAAAAGTTATAATTTTTGGAATATCTTCTTAATTAAGAGTAGCACTCCTCTTCAAATGGAGTTACAAAATTTTTTACATCTCTAACCCCTCACTCTCTACCCCTATTTATAGTAAATATCAGTGAATGTAAGCCATTGGATCAAAATCTTATCCAAAACAATTGAATTTCGGCCACTAATCTGTAACTAACTGCCAGCGTATCGATGCGGGCATCGATGCCGCCATCGATGCTGGCATCGATGTCAGCCTGCCTCCTTTTTCATCCCACAACTTCTCTTCTCTTTGGCTTTTGGGCTTGGGCTTTTGGTATTTTTTTTTCTTCATTTGGGCTTCTGTTGATGTTTTCTTCTTTTTGGTTTTGGCCTTTTGGATAATTTGGCAATTGATTTTCCAATGAGCTTCTTTACTTTATTTCTTCATTAAATCAAGGGCTTTTTGTTGAGAGATTGAAGTTTAAGATTTATTCTTCATTAACATGTAATTAAAGATAAAAACAATTATTAGTACTATATTTATTCATATAAAATAGATAATGAGGGTATAAAATTATAATAAAATATGATTATCACCCACATATTTGTCGGCGGCAAGATCCTAACACTACCGTGGCCTGCTGACCCTGCCTATGGCATTGCCTTTTTTTTGTAAACCCGTAGTCGGTGCGCAGCACCAGCGACAGTTGTGTGCTGGCACTCTGGCGCCTAGTCGAGGCCTTCAAAACTTGATCCTATTGCCATCAGCGCCCTAGTGCCCGCAGCAGCAAGATCTACAGTTTTTTATTTTATTTTTTAAAAAACGGCTATCCCTGGCGCCCAACACCGACGACGGTAGGTGGTAAGGCCTTGCACCTAGTGTCAGAGCCACCACTATTACAAGCCACCGCCACCAACGCTCTTGGCGATGGTGATAGCGTAGACCTAGTTTTTTTATTTTTTGAAAATAAAAAATATTTTTAAAATCTAAAAAATTTAAAATATATTTTCGTATTTCAAAATTTTAATAAATCCCTAATTAATTAAAATTGCCGAGTAATTCATAAAGGTTGAAATTTTATTGTAAATCTGACATTCCAGATGTCAAAAATTAAATTTTTTACACCAAAACAATTAATTTTCTAAAATAAAACTCCAAAATTTATCTTTTCCAATGATAAAAAATACCATCAAGAAACTAGATCTATTCTACATAAACACTAGATGCAAGAAAAATGGATCTAACCCTGAAACAAGAAGATCAAATATGCGAGCAACCATAATCTTGCTCTAATACTACTGTAAACCATGCATAAATACAAATTCATAAATTACTTGTTTAAAGATCACCTTTCCAGGATCATTTGGAAGGATTGTGATGCATGTAATCTCGATCTTCAACAATGACCAGACGGTGACCACACTGGTACTACAAGAAGCCCCCGCATATCACCTCGTGACTAATGCATAAATCAAAGGATCGACGTAGAGGAAAAAGATGACAGTAGTATGTGCTCTCGATCTCTCTCTCTCTCCATCTCTATCTCTATATTTAATATTTAATCTCTATATAAGTGGATATATATAGAGCAGATGAAAAAACCCTAATTCTTTTAGGATTATGAACCAGTTCCTTATGATCCACTCACTCAATTGGGCGGACCCCACAAGTTATTGAGAAGATTAAGTCAAGTACTAATAATATTGGCCAAAACTCCTCAAATAGACTGATATTCGATTAAAAAGTTTACTTGAGGAGTATTAGGACAATATTGCAAGAATTGGACTTAAACTCTATCAAAATAGAATTTGTGGAAAAAAAAAATTTGAATACTTTTTTGTTTCATTATAACTACTATCATTCATAACATAGATGAAATTTAAATATTTCGGAAGAGGGTTTTTTGGTATTAGTCCGTTAAATATTCTTTCATATTTACTCCCTTAAAATAATTTAAATTAGTATTAGATCCTTAATTAATAGTAGAACTAGCAGCTATGTAGAGATTAAGTAGAAACAATTTTTGGAAATTATGAGAGCTAATAGCAACGCAAATGATTTGAGAGACTAATTTAAAATATGAAAATTTTAAGAGACCACTTACCGGAAATTTTAGATAAAAAACAACTCTATGCAGCAAGAAAAAACTATAATAAATGATGTAATAATTCTCTGAGGATCGCTCCCCAATTTCTAAGGTACCGTTTGGGAAAGGGTTAAGTGAGGGGTTAAGGAGACTTAACCCCTTCTTAACCCGCCAAACACAAAAAAATCTATACAAGTTAAAGTGAGTTAACCCTCCATAATTGCCAAACATAAAAAGTATAGAAGGGTTAAGCTAACCCCTCTAGATTGATTAAAATGAGTTAACCCCTCAAAATAAGAGGCTTACTAATACTCCTATTTAGAAGGATTAAAAGTTAATCATTCTAATTATAAAGAAAATAGTCAAAATCATTGTTATTCTCAAACACTAAAACTGATCACAATGATTAAAATAAAACTTATTTAATGGGTTAATAATTTAATTTTTTAGATTATCGAATGAGCTAAGTATATTAATCTTTCTTTTTAACCCCTATTTTTTAACCCTTTGCCAAACGAACCTAATTGCGTTGGCGATGTCTCCTCAGTAGGGACATTCGGTCCGGATACGGCTCGGATATGATGTTTATCATATCCATATCCGCTTACCCATTTCGGATACGGAAACGGATACAGATATACCTCGGTAAGAAAAATTTATAACCATATCCACTAAAATCGGATACGGTTACGGATATACATGCGGATATATAAACGGATATTCATGCAAATACAAAACAACTATGAGAAAACTAGATAGTATTGAGAAAAACATAGTTCATGTGATATAAAAGAGTTTGTTAATATGTCCGAGAAAAACATAGTTCATGTGATATAAAAGAGTTTGTTAATATGTCCATTATAATTGAAAAGTTAAGATTAGACATCTTGATCATCAAAATTAAAATTGAAAAGTTAAGATTAGACATCTTGATCATCAAAATTAACCACAAATCCATAATCTAAGAATTGAAATTATCATAAGAGTATGACTAATATGTATTCGGATATTTCGGATACGTGATAATCCACTACAAAACCATATCCGTAACCATATCCTATTGGTTATAGATTTGAGTGACCATATTCATATCCTAATGGATACGGTTACGGATATTTTCTCGGATACGGATACGGTTTAGCACCCACACTCTTCAGACCAAGCGCCGGCGGACACTACTATCCCTTCTCAGGGGTACTTTCGTCCACTCACTATACCAGAACCTCCCGCTTCCGTAACCACCACCCGCATCCGAGGCAACGTTGCCACGTGTGGCATTTCAATTCGTCAAGGCCTACTTGTCGGGATTCGAAGCCGCAGCAAAACGTAAGAAAACATAAAAAAATTAAACACAAACAAAAATCTCGAGAGAGAAAGAAACAACGTGTTTTTATCTATAAACCCAAAGGTCTACCTCATTGATTTTTAAACCATCGATTTCCAAAACTCATCCCTAAACCAGATCCGTATTTAATCAGTTGCTATTTTGCAATTTATCTAATTTTCTATATTTGTGTATAATAATTGCTATAGTTTCGTGTAAATTGTTCTATTTCACTAAGGACCTTGTACAAAACTGAAGAAATATGGAAACTGGACTTTCAAATAATCCGAATTATGATTGGGTTTAGAAATAATTTTGATAGTGATGTGTGGACAAATAAATCAATGTAAAAATGTGGGTTTATAAACAGAAAAGCCCAAAAAACACGCCCACACTCTCACTGTACTCCGAGCTCTGCTCCCAAAGTTCCCTATTTCTGCAGGTGGAGGAAAAAAAGTTGAAATTTTGTGGTGGAATTTTGCAGTTGAGTCCCAGGAGAAATCAGGAATGCTGGAGGCCGGAGTGTTGACAAGCTACGGCGGCGAGAGCGGCAGCGAGGAGGAGCTCACGGTGCTCCCAAGGCACACCAAGGTACAATTGGATTAAATTTTTGGTTTTGTCGCTTTTAGACATTAGGGTTCTCCCTCTGTTTTAGTTTAGATAGTAGAATTGCGGGTTTTGGTTGAAATTTGAATTTAATGTTTCTACAACTTGTTTAATGAAATGGGATTCCGTGTTTATTTGCTGATTTAATTTTGGATTTTTTAAATGCGAAGGTGGTGGTCACTGGCAACAACAGGACGAAATCAGTGCTTGTCGGGCTCCAAGGGGTTGTAAAAAAGGCAGTAGGACTTGGAGGGTGGCATTGGCTGGTATAATTTTGATATTTTTAGTTGGGAATCTGGGGCGTTTGGTTGGGTTTAATTGGATAATGTGGGTGAATTTTTTTTGGTTTTTGGTTTTGAACTGTTTCTGGAAATGGGATTTGTTTAATTTTTTTATTTGGATCTTGAAATTTGGTGTTCTTTTGCTTGAATTTTTCATGGGTAATTCTTACTTGTTTTGGAATTTTTAATTTTAGTTAATAGTCAATTCTATGTTGAATTCTATTTCAATCTAATTCTGGGTGTTAATTGGGAATGTAATATTTTTGACGCGCATTTGAAATTTTTTGTCTAGGGTTTGGTTAGATGTCCTTTCTGGACATTTTATTGAATAATTGGTACAATTTTATTAGTTGAGGTTTTGTAATTTTGGACAATTGGGTTTCCGCTCTTTTCAGTTTAGATATTTGGAAATCGGTGTTTTGGTTGAATTTTGCTGATTTAACTCTGAATTTAATATTGCAACAGCCGTTTGATGATCTGGGATTAGATGTATTATTTGGAAATACCTGAATTTATTGTTTTTCGTGCATGCTAAGGGTCTTTTATTTGTAATTTAGGGTTTGCTTCATCTCTTTATTTGATCAGTTGCAATTTGGGTTCTTGCGTGAGCAAGTTTTTAATTCGCCAGACTGTACTTTATCTAATCTTTTGGCCTTTTTTTATTGGATAATGTGATCCACTTTGAATTCAATTAAGTCTTGGTGATTTTAGAGTTTACTTTGGCTGCTGTTCCCCCTTTTAATATGAAATTTTAGGTTTTGCTTCTGTTCACTGCCATCATTTGCAATTTAGCTTGTTGATGCATGTTTTTAATCGGCCAGATTTTAGTTTATATAATCTTTTGGACCTTTTACTTGATAATGTGATCCAATTTGAATTAGGACCTGGTGATTTTAGAGTTTGCTTTGGTTGCTTTTCCCCTTTTAATTGGATGGATCTATTGGAGTTTTTTTCCTCCAGTGTAGTTCTGCTAGATTCTATATCTTGAATTTTCTTATTCAGCTCCATAGCCTTCTTTATCATTTTCACTGTACTATGCCAATTTATCTTCAAGTTTAGGTTTTGTTTTTCCACCTTCATTTAAGATGATTCATTATTTTGGTTAAATGCATGCAAGCTTTCTCGTATGTAATCAACATTTCAACTTTCGCTGGTGGTTTTAATGAGCATAGTTGAATCTTGTTTACTTTTCATCAAATTGACTTTTGATGTTTTGTTCTCCCATTTGCTAACCGATTTGGCTTTTTGAATTCATCAAGTTTACCCTGGGGCCTGATCATTGTGTCATTGGCAGTTGGGTAAATTGAATTTCTTACTTTGTCAATCAGTTTGTTACATCGTTAGGTTTTGTTCCTAGGAAGCTTATTGTTGAGAAGTGCAGGGACAATTCTATTTTTTGTGTTGTAGGCTCTTCATGGTCAAAGTTTGCCTTTATTAGTAATGTTCTTCGGAGTACTCGTAGCTTAAATAAGCTTGACATTAGAAATATCAATTACTTGAAATAATTTGTTTTAGTCGATATTTTAGTCACAACTATGTTCAATAGTTTCTTTATTTTTCTTAACACACCAAATTAACTTCTCATACTTCAAGATTAGGGTTTCTCATGTATTTGTCATTATTATTAAATTTCGATTTTCATTAGTTGTTATCTACCAGTATTAGTAGTATCAACCTTTTTTTGTCCGTATGTAATTGGTATGAGTGGTACATCCTGATTTGGTTTGTGATATCAGGTCTTGCGATATATTTTTTTTCTAATTTAGTAGGGACTTCTGTAATGATTCTTTATGTGTTATGTTCAAGTTGTAAAATCAGGGAATCAGAATATGCATCGTTTTCTATAAATGTAATTTAGTTCCTTGATTCCTCTTATTGATCCCATTGTGAGGGTTGTTTATGTACCTCGTATATCTGATCTTACTTGCAGTTCTTGTATTATTTCTTTTCTTGACATAAATTTATTCTTCTCTTTTAATACTATCCTTTCCTTTCTTCTGTCATTTTTTGTTTTTTCCCCTTCCAATTGACTTGCCGAGTGTTTCAAAGAAGCTACCACCAATAAATATTTCTTAAAACTAATAACAAGTAAGGGTGATGTGATCTCAAGACTCACAGTTAATTAAAACAGTTTCTTTAATGTTTTATTTTACTAGGTTTTATGCACGTGCATTGCACGTGATTAAATATTATGATTAAGTATTTTTGATTTATTTTTTTACTAAATTTGTTCATCAATTCCACTTTGATTGTTTTTGCTCATTTATGCCTTTAAACTTTAGTATTATGATTACCTATTTTCTTTAATGTTTGTTTGAATGAGCTGTTGTGCGCAGTGGAAATTTTGGCAGCACTTCGACAGCACAACAAGAGAGATTAGATCGATAAGAATTCCCGTCTCACCAAGGAAACAAGAATCTGAAGCGGATATCTCAACTAAGTGAGATATCGGCTCTTCCTCTCATCAGTTCTAGGACTGACCTGTCGATGGATCCTACAAGCTATTACAAATCACGACAAGAACACAACTTTTACGTGGTTCGACAAATAGGCTACGTCCACGGGGCAAGGAGGGGGAGATCTACTATTAGAGGGAGAGATACAACTAGGGTTTACAATCTCACAATCTAAACCCTCTCAAACAAACTCTCAAATCCCTCTTACAAATTCTCTCTCAAAAAAGGGATGCACAAACAAAGAACAACTGCACCCGCTGCCAATTTGCTGCTGCCAACGAAAAACCTCCTGCTCCTATTTTTCTTCGCAGCCGCCAACAAAGAAATAAAATCTCCTGCCTTGTTTTTTTCGCCTCTGCAGCTGCACACCCTCCTAGCACAATCCTTCACAAAACCCTAGAAGGGTTTTTATAATGCTCTGTACTTAACTTTTGGGTGGGCCTTGCCTTGATGTCCGCAACGAGAGAAGAAACAAAACACGTCCAGCTCCTGGTCCCCACCTGCGTTCACACGGAACCTCTCATTTGCTTCTGAGCGCTCACGTGGGTCTGGCCCACCTCCCACTTCAAAAAGCATCCATTCACAATTCTCCACCTCGGTGAAGTTTTCCCAAAACTGAGCCGACACCAACCAAAACAAATGTCCTACTTGTTGCATCCAGTACGTCATGATAACGGACTCATAACAACGGATTCCATCCACAACAAGTCGAGAACCCGAACGAGAGTCCAAACAATCTCCCCCATCAAAATCAACTAATCCAAACCGGCTGCATCTGAAAGACTGCCTACGTATCCTCTTGCCCAAGGAATCAAGCCGAACGTAGTTCACCCAATGGCCACTAACAACCTCAATCCAATAGAAGAGTTTGCAACCTTTCTCCAACATCACGATCAAGTCTGCGGCTGATAGCACCTCCAATGGCCCTAAACTGAAACAATCCAAACACCTCCACCTGAGATGAACCAACGGTCATGTCTAGACTACATCTATCAGCTGCACTCGAATCAATCAACCTATCATCTGCATCCAAAACAACATGATTCCCAATCTGTGTCACATCAGCTGGAATCCCAAATGATGCAGTATGATCTGGAGTCTTCACCCAACGTGGAGTAGCATCACTTTCCATCCGCTGTGATGTCCCAAAGATCTGATCATCACTCTCCACCTGCCGAGAGTCAAACGTGACATACCTGCTTCAAACACGCCTCTAAATCCCAAATGTGCTATCGGATCAAATCTCACATCCACGATGTGACCAAGTGCTGGGTAGCCAAACATCCGACGCAACCCAAAATCTGAAGCAGCTCCACCAGATCCAAAATCTCTACATGCAGCAGTCGGCAACCTATACATAAGATGATCCAAACATGTCGTAGCCTGCACACCAATGCCAATGCTCAACATCAAACACCGATCCTCCTCCAGAAAGGAACAACTCCCCAAATCTGCCATCTCATCACGTCGTCTTAAAGTTTCCACACCAATGAAGTGTCTCCTATTGCTGTGAGCTCGGCACAAATGCAGATATAGGTCCCTCTTGTACCTCCCTCTAACATCAGACTGAAGTACCTTTCTTGTACCTCCCTCTAACATCAGACTGAAGTACCTTCACCTTTCTGCCAATACACTTCCTCAATTTGTTACGGGCTTCTAGGACTTCACACCCCTCTTGTACCTCCCTCTAACATCAGACTGAAGTACCTTCACCTTTCTGCCAATACACTTCCTCAATTTGTTACGGGCTTCTAGGACTTCACACCAACAGAACTTGGTTGCAACCCACCAATGCCTAGAGCAATCCCCAACTGCGGAAACAACATACCTATTACCTCCCAATGATGCTCTCTTGGAAGGCCCCCGAATGCTTGAATGAACACCCCTCAAAAAACCCCTCGAATGATGGATAGAAGTGCCAAACTCCATCTCGGTCTTCTCGCTCACACCAATAGGTTCACAGAACTTCAAACTGCAGGTCAAAGCACTCCTCAATAACCTATGCACGGCATTACCAATCAAATAACCCAGCATCAAACAACGCCACAGTCTAGCCGAATCTGATAAAGTCGTCATCTCGCTATCAATCGCCGTGCTTCCGAGCAAATAATACAAATTGCTCCTTCTGACGCCCTTCATCACAATCATGGACCCCGATGTGACCTTCAAACGTGCATCCATCAATGTCACTTTATAGCCAGATGCCACCAAAGCTCCTAGTGAAATGATGTTCTTCGACAACTGCGGAACGAACCTCATTTCTTTCAACTCCCGCACCATCCCGTCACTCATCTTAATCCGAACGGTACCAATACCACCAATAGAGCATGCATGTCCATTACCCATGAGCACAACATCCTTTCTTTCCAACTTCTGAAAGCTAGAGAACCAATCCCTCCTAGGGCAAACGTGGTATGAAGCACCTGAATCCAACATCCACTCTGTAGAGTTGGCAACACAAACTGACGGTAGTACAGACAACGAATAGCCCAAAGAATCCGAATCTGAATTGTTGCCACTAGTCTTGACAACATTCACCTCTGGAGCTTGTACAGCTTTCCCCTTATTCTTCTCGGCTCGATCTAACTTTGGGCATTCAGCTTTCCAATGTCCATCCTCTTTACAAAAGGCACACTGATTCCTAATCCCATGATGTGCACCTCTAGACTGCGACCTCCTGCTTCGGTTTGAACCACGGCCATGAACTACTAATGCATCTCCCGATGCCTTCTCGGAGGACTCATCAACACTCTTCCTCAACTCATAATTCACCAACGCTGAGGTCACCTTCTTGTAACTAACAGTAGTTCTTCCATTAATCATAGTTAGGACAAAAGTACCATAATCATCCTCGGGCAACGAACACAAAAGTAGCATCGCCTTGTCTTCATCCTCAACCATGATATCCACATTTGCCATGTCTGAAAGTAGCTTTGTGAAGTTGTTAACATGCTCCCTAATGGAAACCCCCCCTCTTCATCTTGAACTGGTAAAACATCTTCTTCAAGTGAAGCCGATTCTCAATGCTCTTAGTAAGATACTTTTCATTGAGCGTTTCCCACATCTTCTTCGTCGACGTCTCGTTCATCACGTCATAAATAAGATCCGGCGTCAAGCATGACCGAATAACTCCACACGTCCTACTATTCATCTTCTTCCAAACCTTAGCTTCCATATTGGCAGGTTTTTCTTGTAACTCAAGAGTCTCCTCCAAATTCTGAGCGTCCAAGGCGTCCATAACCTGACACCTCCACAAACCGAAATTAATCTTGCCGTCGAACTTCGGAACATCAATCTTCATGTTATTGATGCTCAAACTATGTATCGTCTTCGTAAGAGACGATCCCGATGTGCTTGTTTCACCCATGTTGTCGATCTAATCTTCAAATAGGAATCCTTCAGCGAATCCTTCGAACAAGCTCCCAAGTCCAACCCGGAGCTCTGATACCACTTGTTGTGCGCAGCGGAAATTTCGGCAGCACTTCGGCAGCACAACAAGAGAGATTAGATCGATAAGAATTCCCGTCTCACCAAGGAGACAAGAATCTGAAGCGGATATCTCAACCAAGTGAGATATCGGCTCTTCCTCTCATCAGTTCTAGGACTGACCTGTCGAGGGATCCTACAAGCTATTACAAATCACAGCAAGAACACAACTTTTACGTGGTTCGGCAAATAGCCTACGTCCACGGGGCAAGGAGGGGGAGATCTACTATTAGAGGGAGAGATACAACTAGGGTTTACAATCTCACAATCTAAACCCTCTCAAACAAACTCTCAAATCCCTCTTACAAATTCTCTCTCAAAAAAGGGATGCACAAACAAAGAACAACTGCACCCGCCGCCAATTTGCTGCTGCCAACGAAAAACCTCCTGCTCCTATTTTTCTTCGCAGCCGCCAACAAAGAAATAAAATCTCCTGTCTTGTTTTTTTCGCCTCTGCAGCCGCACACCCTCCTAGCACAATCCTTCACAAAACCCTAGAAGGGTTTTTATAATGCTCTGTACTTAACTTTCGGGTGGGCCTTGCCTTGATGTCCGCAACGAGAGAAGAAACAAAACGCGTCCAGCTCCTGGTCCCCACTTGCGTTCACACGGAACCTCTCATTTGCTTCTGAGCGCTCACGTGGGTCTGGCCTACCTCCCACTTCAAAAAGCATCCATTCACATGAGCTACACCAGATTTAAAAATTTCACGTTAATAATTGAATTGACAAAAATAAATGTAATTTAAAGCTAATTTGAATTTGCATGTTATTTGGATCGACATGAAACCAAGCTTGACTTGAGAATGTATGATGTTATAAAAGTGAAAAACACTTGAAGAAATAACGTTATAAAAGAATGATGAATAATTAAAGCCAATCAGCCGAGATGATTAATTAAAAGTGGGCTAGAATGCAACTAAAAAGAATATAAATTTTGTTGCCAATCATTGATAGACTTCAGAAAAATCATAAATAAAGATTTATACTAACTCTAGTACACTTTTATATGATAAAAGCATCAACATAACCATATAAAAATATTAAAAAAGTGCATGAAAATCCCTTCTAAAGATTCCTGATCTTTCTCAAACAATTAAGCTATACTATAAAATATTCAATAATTTAAATTTGTGTTGTATTTATAAATAACCTTGATAGAGATAATTTTGTTTTAGCAGCTTGTTCTGAATGAACGCTGTATATTAGCTTTAAAGTGTAATATTTTTTTCTTTATCATGATATATAGATGTATGCTTGGTTTACTATCATTCTCTTTTTTCTTCAATAATTTGCATCTTTGGATTGATATATATTATTAACATAATTTAAGATGACATACATATCTTTCCTACAAATTTGAGACAGATATAAGGTAAATTTTATGTTTAGTAGCTTTTAATAAGAATTTTAATTGTAAAATATGTTACCTTCATATTTAAATATCTTAAAATCTGACAGTATTATTACATGCTTATCTTTGATCGTGTCCTTAAAAATTGATGCTTCGTTGGTAGTCATATCCCTAAATAAGGTTGCGCCACTATATAAAAAAAGAAAAATATCAATTTTAATTTTAATTTTTTACTTACGCTATGATAACCAAGTATTATGTTCATACTTTTGTCAATTTTAGTGATTTTTCTCATCTTATCTAGCTTATTATATCTCGTAATATAGTAGATCAATGGCCTCACTTTAGTTCTATTGCAAGATTATATATATATAATTTTATGATTTCTTTAGTATTTCAAGAATAAAGTATGAAATTTATATATACTTACTAATTTTTCTTGTATCTTTAATGAAGAATACTTTTTTAATTAGGACAAAATTGTTCAATATGTTCTTCAAGGGAAACACGTTCAGTGCTTCTTTGTCAGATATGTCTTTTATCAATGTCAGTTTAAGTGATTCATGAATGTTTCTGAATTTTGAGTTTATTTACTTCACTTCTCCATTTGAAATGAAATCAACTTAGTTTTTTTAAAAGATATCTCTGAATTTTCTGATAGTTTCTCCATACATAACTCCTTCTATTTTTTACCTATAAATATTATCAACATTAGATATAAATGTTTATATACTATAATTAATTAATGCTAACATATTATATTAAAGTCTTTTATTAATTTATCTTCTATCAATGAATGTTATTAGTAAAATTACTTGTAGTTTCTTGAATTTATACAGTAATGTTAATTTTTATCTAACATATATTTTTAAATTCTTATTCCTTAACTGGATAATTTTAATCTACGGTAATTGCTATTTTTTACCAGCATCAACTTAGGCTACTTTTAGATGTTAAAAAGAGATGATAAATTTTAAATTGAAAATTAAATGTATATATCTTAATGTTATAATATCAAACAGTTCCTCTTTTCTTTGCCAAATTTTAGCCTTTTGTGATTTTGAACTTTTGAGGGTGTGTTTTGTAATTTTTAAACTTTGATAGCATTTTATAAAAAAATTAAATTATAAGTTGGGAGCTCATAATTCATGTTTTATGTGTTGGTGATAAGTTTTTAAATTTTAGAATGTTTCTTATAACTGTAAAAATTTAAAGGTATTTTTACAATTACTAAAATTTTGGGTTGCTTTTTAAAAAATTTAAAATTTCAATGATCTACTGATAATTTTTAAATTTGATGTGTACCGGTTATAAGCTTTAAAATTTTAAGATTTTTTTGTATTTTTTTTACTTTTGAGGGAGTTTTTGTAATTTTTATAACTTTGAGGTTATTTTTTACAAATTTTAAATTTATAAGTGCTTAATGGTTATTCTTGGAATCCATCTATGTTGTTGCTAAGTTTTAAAATCTCTAAATTTTATGGTGATTTTTTATAATTTAAACTTTGGGTTTTTTGCAATACTTCATGTATATGTTATCCACGTATAATTTCTTAATCTTATTTTTCTAAATTGTTGAGTTATAGGTAGTTAATATGTAGTTAATATAAGATATAATTAGCATCTGGATAGATTAAGATTTAAATAAAATATTTAAAATAAATTTTTTTAAATTGTTGAGCTAAGATTTAAATAAAATATTTAAAATAAATTTTTTTAATTTGTTGAGCTATAGATAGTTTACGGGAGTTAGATAAGATATGATTAAAATTATAATAGACTAAGATTTAAATGAAATATCCAAAATAGTGAATGGTAATATTGACCATGAAAAGTTTTTTCTGAACTCGTGCTTTTAAAAGGAGTATAATATGATTTTGATCTGACATTATTTGGCTTAAATATATACTGGGTTTTAATATATTCAATGTCAATCATGTTGTTTTAGCCCTCATTATATCGGTTTTATTGTTTTCATTCTGTAATTTAATTAATTTATTTTTGTAAATTTTGATGATAAATTGCATTAGTTTCTAGAAGTTTTTTAATATCCTGACTAATAAAATTGCAGGTTCTGACAAATGGCATAGAAGTTAAATTACAGAGGAATGCCCTTAGTGTAATTGAAGCTCCAACTGGTAATGAGGAAGACAATGATTTTGTGTGTGAAACTATGCAGTGGAATGTTTCTGATATGGGTTAGTACTCTTCACAAAATCCTTTTGTTATTACTAGTGTTGTTGTTGTTGTTATCTTGAGTTGTAAATGGGCACCTGTTAAGTAATTATGATCGGGTAGCTAAAGCAACAGAGATGTATGCAGCTGCGGAGATACTTTTGTGAGACTTTCAGTACCCATCAGTTTTACTGTTGAGGTAGCCTCCACTGGAACTAGCACTCATTCTGTGTATATAATCTTCTTTACGACTTCGACTGATACTAGTTAGGTCTTTTTTCTCATTTTTCTATTTTTTTAAGTAAGTACTTTCTCATATGGTGAATGATTTTGTATCCCATACTACGTAATTTTTTGTTCTGACATGCTTCTTCAGTGTTTTTCATGTTTAATAAGGCTTAAAGGGAGTTTTTTTAATATTTGTTATGGTGATAAAAGATAGTTGTTGATTCTTGTATGATGTGAAGTCAACATCTATGGAATGGATTCAGAAGCATGATAAAACTAGGATGAGCGTTAATTGCCAGTTCTGCAAAAATAATCTTATAATTACTTTGGAGATTAACATTCTATATATTGTGCAGAGATAAATTAACTACTTGGATATATTTGTTCTGGTAAACCAATTATAAAAAATTTTGGTCGTGAAAGGGAATGTGGAAAAGGTTCTCTTTTGACTTGTAGGCTTTTACTGCTTTATACCAAGAATGTGAATGCTGCAAAGCCATACTTTCCCAGGCTATCATGCAGTTATGGAATTTCTTTTGAATTGAATCCCACTTTTTCTTATGTTTCAATCTATCTGCTCTTTCTGTTATCTTTCTTCATTCATTACCTTTTGATTATTCAAAATCTCTCTTAACTCTATATTCTAGGCCTTTTAAGCTTCTTTATCTATTTACTTTTTTCTTTATCTATTTACTTTTTCACAGCCTCTGATGAAACACAATCTCAGAAGCCACATCGACCGAGAAGTAGGCCACATAGATTGTCCAGTCACAAATCCTGGAGCCGGTCTCAATCCTGCGACTCACAATCTAAAGACTCTGTTTCATCTTCTCAGGAGACTAAGGTATGACCACTTTGTATGACTGTCTTCTTTTATATGTATATAAACTATAGTATCTCCTATATTCTGTAGCATCCCTATCAGTACCTTTTTATGCCTTTTGTGTCTTTATTTCTCTTCCTCATTGAAATCAACTAATAAAATAATCCACCGAATTGGGATAGTTGATATTCTAAAATGGCCATTCTTATGCAAAATGTTCTGTTGCTTAATCTGACTATAAGTACCCTAAACCGATCCAAACCGACCCACAGCCCACTATCAACCTGACCCATCCAGTTCTAACACTGGATCTGGAAAGTAGCATTATCTGTCTTGGCTTGGCTATGCCTTTAACACACCTAAACTACCCAACTTTCACCTTAATAGTAATCACTTTGTACTAAACCGAATTGGGATAGTTGATATTCTAAAATGGCCATTCTTATGCAAAATGTTCTGTTGCTTAATCTGACTATAAGTACCCTAAACCGATCCAAACCGACCCACAGCCCACTATCAACCTGACCCATCCAGTTCTAACACTGGATCTGGAAAGTAGCATTATCTGTCTTGGCTTGGCTATGCCTTTAACACACCTAAACTACCCAACTTTCACCTTAATAGTAATCACTTTTTTTCCTCCCCCCCCCCCCCCCCCACCAAAAAAAAAGAAAAAAAAGAAAAGAAAAGTTGAAAGGATGAGCCAGCAACATCTTGATTTTAACCTTATAATTCATTTCCTTTGGTTTTCATGGAGCAGGTGGATGCGGGTCCTAACCCCTCCAAGGAGCAGTTAATTGATGTAGTCCAGAGGCATTTCATGTCTCAGGTATATGAACAAGGAGCAACTAACTCCCCTTACCGACTTCTTTGGACTTCTCATTGAAAATTGAGGGGAAAAAAATATAGAAATTCCCTTGAACTTTGTAGGAATAACATAAAAATCTCCTAGAGTTCTAAAACTAAAATTTCCGCACCTAATTTTTCCATGGTATGCTGGGGTATAGTGTGATTCAGTTGGTGCCAAAAGTACCCACAGATTTGTGGGGAGATAACAAAAGAGTTTTTTTTCCGGGTGGTTAGTTATATATCTAACATGATACTTATGTGACATTGTTTAATGGAAAAATCATACGAAGGGGTAAAACTGTTCGTATTAAAACTCCTATCTCCTATCTTACGTCATTCCAAAGAACTTTGGGGTAAGTTTCCTTTGAAAATTTCCAAGTTTGATTTCTGATTTTTCTACAGCAATTGGATGAGCGGCAAGTAATTGTGGGATTCGTGCAAGCGGCCAAGAGACTTAAGAGCTTATGCAGTTAACATCGACGACATGGTTAAGAGAACGAGAAAGAAACTCAACTGCCTTTGTGCGTTAACTTATCGGCACTAGGAAAGGTCTTTTGCCTTGTGTAGTTATGTGATTTTATGTAATATATTGTGTCGCTAGAGTTTTAGGAGCTGAAACATGTACGCAAAGTGGGTAACTGGGTGCTTTTGGGTGGCTAATAGGTGTCTGATATTGGACTTGTAATGTTGATATGCACCGTTTAAAGATCCTGGTGCTTGTTGTGGCCAGTATCTTTCTTGTGCTCTCTGTCTATGTCAATGTCAGAAGGATTCTCTCGAGAGGTGTATTTCGATACTCTTTCCTATGAAAAATTGGAAAAATGAACCATTCTTCTTACGGGAATTGTTATAATATTTACCATCCAAGATCACCAGGTAAAATGAGTTTCCACATTCTCCATCCCTGGTGGCCTCAATGAAAAAAAATCGACCAGAATTTGAATTGCCCACCGCTGAAATTCTAAAAGCTCTACAGGATGCACATCTCCGATTATCCGGGCATTATCCAACCAACTTTTAACAGCCCAAAAACAACCTTAAAAGCGTGTCTGGCCCAACCAAGATTCTCACCTACAATCACTACCTAATCACCCACGCCAACTTCAGGCTCCGGCTTCTTTACCATTTTGATTGTAGAGAATGCCTACTACAATTAGTTAGGTGAACTATTTAAGGCTTGTTTGGCAAACCCATAAAACTAGGTCAGGTCTAATCGTGGTCTAGTTTTTGGATATTTTCTATTTGGGAAAAAAACCGGGCCAACCTTAACCTAGTTTTTTCAGTTTATTTTTAGGCCCTTAAACCAGGCTAGAGTTGGACCCCGCCCCCCCAACCACCAATCATTTTAATCCTGACATAGTTAAGAGAAAATACAAAGTTGGTCTCGTTTTGCAATTGATTGCCAAACATGCCCTGTTATTAGCTTGTCCTAGTGGGTCACACAATTAAAAGTATTTTTTATATTACTTAGATAATTCATAGCATTCATAGGGTCCACTAAGTGAAAAGTTTTAATTGATGAGTTGAAGAGAATATTTACAATCAAGAATGTAAAAGATCTCTACACCGGACTCGGTATCCCATATGTTAATTTTGGATCCAAAATCAAGCAACCAACTAGGCGACATAAGATCCAATCTTTATGATAAGCATTCATCGAATATGCAGTCCCAAAAAAATGACGTGTGTCAATTTATACCATAGTTAGTCTTATGGTTTCATGTCAAAAAAAAATTATTCTTCTAAGGGGCTGTTTGGATACCTTTAGGAAACTAGAGTATTTATGACACAATACAAAGTGATTATCCACCTCACCACTTTCCATTCGAGTGTTTACATTGTTTGGTTAGGAATCTTTGTGAATCCTAAAATAATAGTATTACATTGTTTGGATAGTACAATGTAAACTAGAGTATTTATGACACAAAATGGAAAGTGGTTATCCACCTCACTACTTTCTACAAGGTTTTGACTTTTTTTATTATTTTTTGGACACATTTATGACATTGTGTCAGCTTTCTAACAAAATCACTCCTAATTTTGGTGATTTTGCTTTCGGTGACACCTCATCAAAATGTGTAAGCTTTTCATGTAAAAGAGAATTTAAACAAACAATGTAAAGTGAGGAAAACTGACATTGAGACCCATTTTTTTACACTTTCCATCATTTTACATGGTAAAAACATACAACCAAACAGCCCCTAACTAACAAATGGTGGGCAAAAAAGTGCTACCTCTGTTATATGCAACGCTCAATTATTAGTAACCGGTGCTATATTTGGATTGAGTAAGTGATGGGGAATGGGCGGTGGAGGTCTATTGAACACGATTATTGTTAGTCTAAGGTATAGACCCAAAGTCAAGACAAGAGCTGGAATCAAAACGACGAGAAAACAAGTAAATAGATCCACGGTCGACCGCGGCGGTCAACCACGAACGTGCACAAGAGTTGGGAGGAGCTGAAGTGAAGGCGGTCGACTGCGACGGTCGACCACACCAACCTTGTAGGATTTTTGGTCTCGGGTTTTTGGTTCGGTCGACTGCAGCGGTTGACCGCTTAACTCTCTGGAAATCTGGGAGTTTCTGTCATTTGGCACGGTCGACTGCCGCAGTCGACCGCGACACAGTCAAACAGTTTCCTAAACTGTTTTGGATTCTGTTTTCTCCAGGACTCTATATATACCTTAAACGTTTTAGGGTTGTAACAACACGAAAAAAGAGATCTTTTTGACTGCAGAAAGAGAGAGAATCTCAGAGAGATTAAACCCTAGTTTTAGAGCTTGTAATTCTTCTTCAATTAATAAAGAGATTGTGTGGTGTGGCTCCTGAGGACGTAGGCATGTTGCCGAACCTCGTTAAATCTGTGTGTTCGTCTCCTTTACTATTTTTTGTAATGTTAGATCTTTATTTGTGGTATTATTCCTACTTTTCTACTTTCAACACAAAGTCCAGAAGGGTAAGGGTTCGATTGATTGTTTCGAATCCCTAACAACTGGTATCAGAGATTCGTTCAGTAATTTGTGTGAAAGCCATGGCAGAGGAAAACAAATCAAAGATCGAGAAGTGTGACAGTTCAGACTTCGCCTACTGGAAGTCGCAGATGGAGGACTATCTGTACCAAAAGGACTTGTATCGTCCGTTGATGGGCAAGGAAAAGGGAAAGAAGAAGGAGGAGTCAGATGGTGATTGGGAAGGACTTGTATCGTCCGTTGATGGGCAAGGAAAAGGGAAAGAAGAAGGAGGAGTCAGATGGTGATTGGGAGATACTGGATACGTCCGTTGATGGGCAAGGAAAAGGGAAAGAAGAAGGAGGAGTCAGATGGTGATTGGGAGATACTGGATAAGAAGGCTCTAGGGCAAATCCGGTTGTCACTCGTGAAATCAGTAGCCCACAATATTCTGAAAGAGAAGACGACGGTGGGGCTTATGGAAGCGCTCGTGAAGATGTACGAGCAACCGTCAACAGCAAACAATGTGCATCTAGTCAAAATTCTTTTCAACCTCAAGATGGCAGAAGGACGGTCCTTCACGATACATCTCAGCGAGTTCAACACGATTATTGATCAGCTTATCTCCGTGGACATCACGTTTAATGAAGAAGTACAGGCCCTATTATTACTATCGTAGTTGCCGGATAGTTGGGCAGGTTGTGTGACGACAATCAGCAATTCGGCGGGGAAGAAGAAGTTGAAGCTGAGTGAGGTGGTTAGCATGATTCTATCCGAGGAGGTTAGAAGAAAATCATCCAAATCAGAAGGTTCAGGTTCAACTCTAAGTTTTGAGCAGAGAGGCAGAAGCCAGAAGAAAGAAAACCAGAACAAGAATCGGTCAAAATCAGTAAAGAAGAGGTCGAACTCAAAGGTTAGGCCTATCAAAGGAAAGTGTTAGAACTGCGGCCAGGAGGGCCATATGTCTTCAGTCTGCAAAAGTCTAAAGAAGAATGCGGGTGAGCAAGAGGCTCATATTGTGCAGGATGCATTGATTCTTATTATAATGGATAGCGGTTCGGATTCTTGGGTCATCGATTCAGGAGCCTCTTTTCACACTATTGCTAACAGGAAGCTATTTCAGAATTATGTAGCAGGGGACTTTGGAAAAGTATATCTAGGAAATAATGAGCCCTGTAATATTATTGGAAAGGGTGAAGTGCAGATTCAGATGAAGGGCTCTAAGTGGACTTTGAAGAATGTAAGACACGTGCCGAAGCTAAAGAGGGATCGTGTTTCAGTGGGACAGCTTGGAGCATAAGGCTATGTTTCGACATTCACTGGGGATTCGTGGAGGATCTCTAACTGTACGATGATAGTTACTCGAGGCAACAAACTAGGAACTCTCTACCTCACCTTACATGCGAGTGACACCCTCGCAATTGCAGCTGACAAAGAGAGTACAGATCTGTGGCACAACAGGCTAGGGCACATGAGCAAAAATAGGATGAAGATTTTTTATTCACAAGGAAAGCTAACCGGGATCGACGTCGTGGAAGTCGGGGTTTGTGAAGACTACATCTTTGGGAAGCAGAAGAGGGTTAGTTTTCAGAAGGGTTGAAGGCCACCTAAGGCTCAGAAGCTAGAGTTGATTCATACAGATGTATGACGTCCAGCCAGTGTATCTTCTTTTGGCGGTTCAAGATATTATGTCACCTTCATCGACGATTACTCAAGAAAGGTGTGGATCTACTTCATGAAGCACAAGTCAGAGGTGTTTGGAATCTTCAAGAAGTGAAAGGCCATGGTGGAGAATGAGACAGATCTGAAGGTGAAGTGTCTGAGATCAGACAATGGTGGGGAATACGAGCTGGAGGAGTTCAAGAGGTTCTGTGCTACGAATGACATTCGGTTAGAGAGGACTACTCCAGGGACACTGCAACAGAACGACATTACAGAGAGGATGAATAGGACCTTGACAGAGCGTACCAGGGGCATGCGGTTACATGCAGGTCTACCTAAGACATTTTGGGCGGATGCAATGCATACAACAACCTAACTTATTAATCACAGGCCATCAGTTCTATTAGATTTTGGAATTCCAGAAGAGGTTTGGAGTGGCAAGAAGATAAATCTCTCACACTTGCGGGTATTTGGTTGCGTGGCTTATGTTCATATCAGTGACCATGTTAGGGACAAGCTAGAAGCTAAGTCACAGAAGTGCATATTCATTGGATACAACATTGATAAGTTCGGGTATCGCCTCCGGGATGAGAAGAACATGAAAATCATCAAAAGCAGGAACGTGATATTCAATAAGGATATGATGTACAAGAATAAGGAAGATGCCAAGGATAGCCAAAGCAGTGGGAGCAGCATTTCAGATACAGATGGATCTGAGTACATGGATATAGAGGAACTTTCAGACAGGGGAGATGATGTTTGTTCTGACCACAGAACGGAGGAGGCTCTAGGTGTAGAAGAAACTACTCAGGGTGTGGAGCTTAGGAGGTCATCTAGGGTACCCAAACTAAATCCCAAATATCTTTTATCTCTTGACTACTTATTATTGACAGATAGCGGTGAGCCGGAAAGCTATGAAGAGGCAATGCAAGTGAGTGAATCTCAGCAGTGGGAGCATGCGATGCAAGAGGAGATGGATTCTCTACTCACTAATGAGACCTGGGAGTTAGCCCAGCTACCTGCACAGAAGAAGGCCTTACATAACAAATGGGTCTACCGGGTCAAGCAAGAGAGTGATGGAAGCAAGAGATTCAAGGCCAGATTAGTAGTAAAGGGGTTTCAACAGCGGGAAGGAGTGGACTACACAGAGATATTATCCCTGTTGTGAAACTTACAACCATCAGAGTGGTGTTGAGTTTGGTGGCTACAGAAGACCTCTTTCTTGAGC